CAATCAATCAATCAATCAATCAATCAATCATTATGTGTAATATCAGGAGTGAATTTAAGGTTGATGTATATTCTCATCTACAGAAAGTTCACACTTTGAGATACGAATTTTTCCCGCCAAAATTTTGATGCGACATTTCATCTATTTTTATGTATTTTTCTCTAAATTTGATATTTTTGGACCAGATGAACATAATTTTTAATTGGTGACAGATTATGATCAAAATTTTGAAAAAATTGGGGTTTATTTTTTGTGAAAGATCACAGAAATCCACTTTGGTGATCAGAGGGGGTTAAAGGTCAAAAGGATAAAGTGAGGTTTATAGCACTGTATTTTACTTTCATGATGAGCATTACAAAAGTAAGTCAGGTAATTTTGAACTGAATCATCTATGTTACCATGGTTACATACATCAACCAGAGCACTTTCTTAATTGATATTCGCCTTCAGTTGATATTCAAATCCCTTACTTTGTCTGTGTTTTTGTCTAGGCGAGGAAGAGGATGTATGGCTGCATATAGATGCAGCGTACGCTGGTAGTGCTTTTATATGTCCAGAATTCAGACATTATTTGGACGGTGTAGAGGTGAGGACATCTTCTCTCAATGACCTGAATAGTCTGCTACAACTGCACTGTAATTTGCTACAATCAGAATTAACATTTCGAAGTTACATATAGTGAGAAAATACTAGTACTACTAAAATCTGTATTAGAAGCTGTGGTTCTATTAAAATGGTACAATACAACAGAGAGGATGCGGTTTCTATTAGAGCATCTACACATATGAGAAATGATGAATTTTTAGTTTTCAATTGTTCAAAAAGAATGGGTGCGACTTCTATTAGGGATGCGGCTTCTAATACAGATTTTACGGTACTTGAGTGCATCTAATGTATACATTTCCAAATAAAGATTCATCTGTTACATGTCAATCCCATCTACCGATATACAGTTTTTTTTATTGATGATTAAATTCAATTGTTTCTGCTGCCAAATGTATAATAATGTTTTTTTAATATTTTTTTTGAATATATTGTATTTGTGGTATCCAGGAAAAACTTTCAGACTTTTTTATGTACAGTGTTGGCAGTTTATGTACTTTTGCTTCGAAGCAGATGAAAGAAGCACACACACACATTCACATAACAACCTAAAATTGTCTTTTTATTGCATATATAGCTTGGTCATGTAAAATACAATTTGTTTAACCTTAAACACTCTTCTGTCATCAGGTGCAGCCAATGAGCAATAAATTGAAATAGTCAATTCTCTGGGACAACATTTATTTTATGGGCCTTTTGAAGTATGCTAATTAATATAAAGGAAAGAGGGGAAATTAAAAGCTGTTCATAAGGTACCCTCCACCTGAAAAATGCTCAATTCACAAGAAATCATTCTCTACCAGTAATTTCCATCATCTGTTGACAGTGAGCACTCAGAAGTCATAACCACACTGGTTTCACGACTTTACTGTTTAAAATAATTCCAGCCTCTGTGAAACACATTGTAACTTTTAGGCTTTAAAATTTGTATCTCAGAATTATGGCCAGTAACACCATGGCTTGTCTCCTATTATTATGCAAGAAATCACCAACTCACTGATTGGCTACATGCACTTAGTCGACGAAAACAATGAATAAAATGAAAATCAGTTGAAGCTAATGTGATTAAAAACCAATGAATAGAATCTATCAGGTTGATTTAAATATGGTCCCATGTACATCAGATATAACAATATCTGAACCAATGGCTGCCTTAGGATTCAAGTCCTATTAATTTATCAACCAATTAGACGGACGCATCCACATGAGTGCAGCTTTCATTGGTTACATGCTGTCATGAGTTACTATGCCGACCACTCTGAGCTTTACTACCTACATCCGTTGTTTTACCTGTTGTTTCACATTCAAAGTTTTTAAAAAATATATATTTTTTTTTTATTTACAGTTTGCTAAATCTTTTAACTTCAATCCCCATAAATGGTTGAGAGTAAACTTTGACTGTTCGGCTTTATGGATAAAAGACCGTGCTGATATCACAGATGCATTCAACGTTGACCCACTCTATCTCAAACATGAAAAACAAACTGAGGTTACAGACTTTAGAGTGAGTTACTTTTATTATCAAGTTGAGGGTGCTATTCATATGGTTGTGGTTACGAGTAAGCAGAAGGCAGAAATGCCATTATTAAAATGTGTCCCAATAATTTACAAAAAATCAAGGGTATAACCGTATTAGGTACATTTTATATTATTTTTGCATATTTTGATATTAATTCATGAGAAAATGTATACCGGTATACGCTTCCTAAAAACATAATAATATTACTGCAACTACCGTATTTACTCTATTAGAAGCACATCTCAAATAAAAACATATGTAAACCAACAATTAAATGTATTCTATAATGAATCATTGAAAATATCATTTATTTTGACATATATCCAGCTTTTTGGCATGTCCAATCAAATCATTTCGTTTAACTGAGGTCAAATATAGTCTTTCCAAACATGATCATGCACAGGTTCGTAAGGACGGACATGGATGGCGGCTTCTGTGAAACCGTGTGAGTCAATCGATGATGTACTACTAATAAAGCAAATACAGTACTTTTATTTTGTCATTGTTTTTTGTCTGAATGGTAATTATTAATTTTATTTTCTTGGCAAAATGGTAACAAAGGCATAATGAACATATTCATGAATTTCCTTTCAGCACTGGCAGATACCACTTGGACGAAGATTTCGATCGCTCAAACTGTGGTTTGTCTTACGATTGTTTGGTGTTAAATACCTTCAGGAATACATCAGAACGGTAAGCATGACGATGATATGTGATCGATGTCTCCTTGCTGCCAATGCCAGCTGGTTGCATGGTTAGTTAAAAATGTGTGCATCACAAAATTAAAGAAAAATTTTCAAATCCCCCCAAAAATCCCAAACTTAAATAGAGGGCTGCAATTACAATCAAATGTAGATAATTGTACCAGTATTTGTTTTCTTACAGCATGTGAAGTTAGCTCATGAATTTGAAGCACTTGTTAAAAGTGATCCACGATTTGAAATCGTCACCGAGGTCATAATGGGATTGGTGTGTTTTCGACTCAAGGTATTTATATATACTATTTTTATCTGTTGACAAGAGTAAGAAAAAAACGTTTTAAAGAAAGGCGGCGCCAAACCAAATTAATGAAGCAATTGTGTTAAGTAACAATGATTTAAGAATATTTTTCTGGATGAAGTAATTGCTATATACTTTCTAGGCTCATGATTAATTGTTCAAAATTTTGTTTTTGTCATAAATTTTGTTTTTCTCTTTTTTTCAAACTTGCCATCATATCCCTTCAAGAGTTACTAATGCACTGTCCCTGATAGATTTGTTAATGGTTTTAAATTTTTTGTTAGAAGAGGGAATTTATATCGTAAAAACTGAAAAAGAATTTATTTATATTGACAATATGAGCAGATGAAATATTACAAAGTAGTATAAACTTAAATATGGACATAGTATGTGTGATACAATGCTTGCATGAGTTAACATTTGAAAATTCATAGAAAAAACTTGATGTAACCAGACACATTTTCCAATAAATTGCGCCCTCTAGTGACAAAGCACTTCTGTGCATGAATGAGTCGCACAAAGTTTATTCAAAGCATTGCTTTTGTTTGTTGATTGGGTTTTGTAGGTATTTTACTAAATTATATTTTATTTGACAAATGACTACACGACCAAACACAATTGTCAGTTTGAACAGTATTGTCTCCACTCATATTTGTTATTCTGATGTCATAGAGGGCTTGGTCACTAGAGGGCGGGATTTGTCGGAATGGTGTATTGTATATATTTTTATCGATTTTCAAATCAAAATGGCCACCAGACTTTATGCTATTGAGAAATCACTTCCATGGAAACCAGATTGGCCACCCAAAGCACAATATTTAATTTCACTATTTTCACACTGTAAATAAAACCATGTGAGTACTGTAAAAATGACTAATTTTCACTGGGTTTAAATTTTGCTGATTTACCATTTCAGGCGTATTCAGTTTTAAATTCATGGTTTTATCATTTAGATAATGCATTCTATGCTAAATTTTACATATTCACTGGGTTTTAATTTAGCGCATTTTCCAGTCAGCGTAATGAGAAAAATTAAAACCCAGTGAATAATTAATCTATTTAAATTATGTAAAGTTATGTAAATTTAAAATCATGAATATGATTAAAATAATGAAACTAAATACCAATGACAATATGTTTACATTTTGTCATCTTGTATTGACGTTCTTGCATTTGACACATTACCATAGTTACGGTTTATGCCTCTTTAATTCTGACTTTTTTACTTTTTCTTTCTCAGGGCACTAATGAAATCAACGAAAAGCTGCTGAAAACAATTAATGAAGATGGTCGAATTCATATTGTGCCCGCAAACCTGCGCGATACATACATACTGCGATTCGCTATTGTTGCCGCTAACACAAGTTCTAATGATATCACCTTTGCCTGGGAAGTCATCTTAGAATTAGCTGAGAAAGTATTGCATGAATGTAATCACTTTCTGTAAAAAATTTTTTTTATTTTTTTATTTTTTGTGTGCAAATTGCAAGTGCTAGTGCTGACACAGTGCATTTTGCCACAGAAGTCATATTCATGTTTGGGACTACATGACAGGGCTGTGTGGCCATCTCTCTGTCAAATGGCAATTTTAATGTGCTATCCTAGAGTTAACCAGGCTCTGTCGAACACAAGCACCTGCGGACCTTAACCAAGATTCCTCCGAAGTCGCATTCGTTAGTGAATGAATCTCGGCCAATGGAATTGGCCTTCCCATTGAGTCTGTGGCACACTCACCCTGGGTAGGGGGCGACCCTTTCATGTTCAGCCTAAGGTAGGATTTGAACTTGGGTCTATCGATCACGAGTCTGGAGCGGCAACCACTATGCCACCAGCAGGTGTAGCATAATTATATCCTCGGGGGCGGAGCTACGTCACGGACGTTCTACGTTGCTAAGACGCGCACCACTGTACCATGTATTTCTACGGGCTTTGTGCGCGCTGCTGTGGGACGCCTGTGGAGCCGGTGAAACTCGAGAAAACAACACAAACTCAACTTTGAAGTAATCCTGAGCAACCAAATTCATATATGTTACACACATAGGGCTAATCTTGTTACACTGTTCAGGGCACTCTCAACAACCATCGCAAAGTACCGTTTTCTGCGAGTTTTTGGTCTTTGTTTTCACCGCGAAGGTTGCCAGGCGGTAGAAAATGCCCGGATGTCCGCCCCCGAGGATAGTGACAACCTACATATTCATTGGATTTTGTTGATGCTAGCGCCATCTATGGATAGATATTGACAGTGCTCTTGTTTTTATTATTTACAGTGAAGATGTTTAAATATGTTTGTATTTTATCATATTTGCTCTAGTTTGAATATTTTTGAAAGTTTGTAAATTCTATGTGATTATTAAAAGCAATAAATTTGTGCTTTCAACACACTTTCAGCTGTTAACTTGTGAGGGCGCACTTCATTATTCTCTCCCCAAACAGAACTGCCAGTGATAAAGTGACTTTTCTGGAAAAAGAGAATTAGTTTGAAGTTCAGTTATAAAGGTATTCATTTTAACAATTAATGCAATGTTGATGCAAATTACACCATAAAATGATACATTTGTGATTTTTTTTCTCTTTTGGATTTTCCCTAGCTGACTCAGTTTTCTCTGCTTCACGTCCGAAAAATAGAAAACAGACTGAGATAGCTGGATTGTGTCCGATAATCCAAATTTTATAATGAAATAAGTTTAACTAAAGTCAAATTTTGTCACTTTTTATAAAATATATCTAGATTTGGGTTTATCAAAATAGAAAGATGAATAAAATACTAGAAAGATTTGACAAAAAGACAGAAAATCTACACTTGTCGTCAATTTTGTATTTACACACATAATAAAAACATATCAGTTTACTACACTTATCTAATTGACAGATCTTGGAGAGCATCTTACTAAGATTTAGTTCTCATTATCAGCAGTTGATTGTCTTCTTCATTCTGTGCACATATTTCTACGTCTAAACATATATTTCATTAATTTTTTTAATCCACTTGCAAGTCACACCAATTGCACTTCACCTTTTCATAATTATTGGTAAGATTCATAAATTTAAAGATGATCAGATAACATTTTTTTTAATTATTGAAACTACAAGAAGAAAATGTTAAGTGAAATTTAGGCAATATCTTGAAAAATATACATATAACATGAACCAAAATCAACCTTTTCAAAATCTCAAATTTGGTTAATACTATATCCAAGTTTGAAAGAAATTGAATAAATTATAACAACGAAGTCATCCATTTTTCTTTCTATACCTTCATCTCAAATGATACGGACAAGGTAAAAATGGACACCAGTTGGCCATTTTGGTTTGAATCTCAGGGAAAAAATATGACGTACAGCTCCTACTCAATATGCATGACCCAGATACAAAGTTAAAATTAAATCACCCTGCTTGTGTTCGAGATAAGTTCACAGACTGCGATTTTGCAGACATTCAACTGAATCTGGCGATAAATTCGTGAGGAATCTGCATAGAAATTAAAAGAAAAAAAAAATGGCCACCTATCAACCATTTTTGTTCCAATCCAAAAATATGACATGCACCTGTATCCAATATGTATGAACTTCATATAAAGTTTCATCTTTGAGAAGGGGATCTGGGCATGTTTAAATAATTCAAGGACCAAAATGACCGCTAATCAGCCATATTTTATGAAATGGTAATGAAAATTGATGTGCATATGTAAGTCATCATACTTGGTCTTTGTGTTAAATTTGAACGTAATCGATCGAAGCATGCTTGAGAAATAGCTTTGAACACGCTGATGGAATTTAACTTAATAGTCCAGACTTTGTCCGAGACGGGGACTGGAAACAATGAAAGGATACAAGGGGTATTCATTTTCCCCCATCTGGAAAAAGCTCTTGAGATTCTGTTAACATGCACATCTATCATTTGTCCAGGGTTAATAATCACCCAGCAGATATCTTATGCTTTTTGTGAAATGAATGTGTTTTTGCACACCCGACTGGACTACCATGGGGTAATAATTTTTATCATCCCTATCTGATGGACAGCATTATCGTAAACCAATGCAATTAGAGACAGTCGAGTACTTCATTCAGAGAAGCATCTCAGGCCAAGCCTTATTATTTAAACAATAATGAATCCCCGACAATGCTATATTGGATGAAGAGAAAAGTCCATGGCAAGATAATTACCGATATTACGTCTACACCCTTCTCCTATCCAATATGATGATGTGAGGGCTCAATATTTTTGTTATAAATCACCATATTCGAAATTAAACAAATTTGTGTTAAATTTGGGACTTTTTGTTGAAATGAATTTATTTGCGAATGGATGTTTACATTATCATGTGACATATAAAGTTATGACATCATAAAACCTCTAATTTCAGATTGCGGTGATATATTACACGCAATAACCTGAAATATCGAATATAGTGAGAAGAATGAAATCTACTACATACTGACATCTTTAATGTCGCATTCAAACTGCGGAACTGAACAAACAAAAAATAAGAGACAGACAAACTGGTTTCAAAGATCCAAACAAAACTTTATGTGCTTAAGCGACAAAAGAATATTTTCTTAAATCCGGGTGTGAAACAATAAGATATACAAATGCACCATTACAAGACAAATTACAAACTATTACAATTTACGTATGGATTTTTACACAAAATAATTACTCATTGGAAATGGAAGAAGACTCATCTTTGGGTGGGAAAATGTCTTGCGGTATGGGCGAGTGTAACTTCACTTTTTATTTAAAATACAATTGAAAACCATATGAGAATAAAATCAACATTTCTAGAAAAAAATCATGCACCTGGGTAGTCATACAACTCATAAATTACCAATTCCGATTCATTGGTAACGAACCGAAAGTTTCCTCATAAGTTAGTTTAAGAAAATGACAACCATGTGGATTTTTTTTAATACGGAGAAGGGGTGGGTGATAATTTCTGTTTTTCATCCACCATAACATACGTATACAATTATTAACAAGACAACTGGGTCCATATATTATATAAATTACAGATAAATCATTAAACATTCCCTTCTGTGAATCAAATATGCGGTGCTGTGTGAACTGACATCTAGCTCCAATGATATGCAATGTCAAAAGCGGAGCGGAGTTGACGAGCAAAAAAAATTCACTGATGAGGCGAGATGTTTGGTATGAATAAATATGACAATGACCTCTAACGAAATTTTTTTTTATTGGAAATATTACACCAGTATCATCAGAATGAGACTTGCAGCTTCAATTTTCAATTAAAATACAAATATAAAACATTCATGAGACAATTTTTGTTTGTGCCTAAAATAAGATTTCATTATGCTGAACAAAAAAGGGAGACAAGTCCCTAAAACTTGCGTAGTCTTAGATCGAAAAGGACGGGGTGGTGGGAATTGGCAGTGTTGGCCTCCTGCTCCTATCCTGTTTACCATGACCTTTATTAGAAGCATGTCACTCACTAAATCCAGATTATGCCAAACGATCATAGGAAAATAAGTAGGTATAATATATATATTTAATTTATATATAATTCACACAGCTTTGTGGGTTCCTTGATACATCACAGTAACGAGGACATGTATTATTTTTTTTTATTTTGAGAGGTCAGTATACAAAAACTTCAGTTGAAATTTGGAACTGTGAATCTTGGAATGCTGCATTAGCACTAATTATTAAAAAATAATAATTCTTGCCAAATACAATAAAGGTCGGAGCTACGTTTTATTCATTTATTTTATACTTCTATAATTTCCTTCTTAATTTTGGGGGTAATTCCTTAAATACAAGAAATAATCCATAGCAAGATATTTATATAGAGGGCGTATGTTGTCTGTACAAACCATTATGTGATGACTTTTATGTGTTGTTGACGACTGCAAATAACCATACCCAATTGTCAAACTTCTACCAAATGCCAACTAAATGTTTAATTGGCCTACTGTCAATCAGATACCAAATGCCAACTAAATGCATAATTGGCCTACTGTCAATCAGATACCAAATGCCAACTAAATGCATAATTGGCCTACTACCAATCAGATCACCAATTGCCCACTCAATGTACCGGTAATCATAAATGTGTACTGATAAACAATCATGAAATGGCTACATACAAGCCCTGATAAACAAATTACCGAAAACTTAGAAATCTAATTTCTCTCAATTTTTCATTAATGAATGCCTACTAATCTACTTTTCATTACTTGACTACTTACAGCAAGAAGTTACAAGATACTGTGACCTAGTGTTCATGTGACAACTAAAATAAAATCCATGAACCAATCTTTTATCTGCGATGGATGTCTAACAGGGACAACATGGTGCTCTGCCAACTGCAATTACATTTCCTGGTAGAAGTCGACGTTTCCACAAAATTAAAAAACAATACTAGCGATACCTCAGTTTGATACAATTACTCTAAGAATAAGAATAGAAATCAAAATATTCTCGTGATTTATTTAAAAAAACAACATCATTTACTTTCATCAGGCAAATTTAAAAGTATGTGACCTTTTTGAAATATTTGTATAATATAACATTTCAAATTGGATTCATTAATCCAATAAATAAGTAAATCAATGCCATTCGCTAACGAATAAATTCTAAGCGCTACTAAAGCTATTAATTTTAATACCACCATTTTTGCATTTCATTTTAATATTGGCTACATTTTACAGGAGTTCTCGTTGGACAGAAACAATTTTTCAAACAGCGTTTTTGCAAAGCTGAAATTTCACAAATGTATTGAACTGCTTTTCTGTAAAATTGTAAGGAACGCAGTGAAAAGATCAACTTCTGCAAAAGTTTGCTGTTAAGAATAAACCACCCCACTGTACAGTTGCATGAAATTGAGTAATATATCAATTTTAAAAGTAGAAATTAAACAGATTGTTAAAAATTATACCAAATTGCCCAAATATTATTTTTTGATATAAAATAAGAAAACCTGCATTTTTGGACAAAGTTTTTTTTTTTTTTAAAAAGCAACTTTTTTGACACCAGGCTATGTTTATCGTCAGTTGTGCATTATGTTTTATGTTAACATTCTTTATCCTAATTCACTGAACTGCTAAAAGTCAAGTCCTACTGTGCAGTTGTAATACCCTATAAAATAAAAGTGACATTTCAATCTAAAAACTGAAAATTAATTTCAAACTGTCGGTAGAAATAGGACAACTCTGTTTCCTTCAAAGTCCTTCAATTGCCAGTGATCGTCCGAAACTTTTTCAGCACCGATCGCTTTTGATGGACTATTTACGCGGAAGTAGAGCGAGACGTTCTCAAGCGACCGGGCATTCACGCCGGGGTAGTGCACAAGAGTAAATTCTGCTTTCGGTGACAGTGTAAAAGTAGCGTATCGTACATCGCTGTTGTTGAGATCCCTTTCAAATGGCGTCAGGCCTGTGATATTTCTATAAAACTGGTCCATAGTATCAAAGTTAGAACGTTCCCTGACAAAGAGGGACATTCTGATCCCAGACATTGGGCAGCCCGTTTTAACCGCCCACATCGGCATGTCTTGTTCCACATTATGGAAGTACTGCGTATCATAGTCCACCACTTTCGTAACGGCTTCTGGGAGACTATACATTTCCCAGGGTGCAGACGCTAAACATTTTGCCGACTTCACAGCACGTCTTTGCATTTGCCCAGTGAACATCATGGTCACACCCACGGACGGTACACTTCTATCAACCTTTCGATGTTTTGACGGTGGCATCCCATCCTCTGAGTGATCAGAATTATTGTCACATCCCGTCTCGCGTATTGTAACGTGCGTAAGAGCGGAGGAAAATGGTGTGATAATGGGAATCATGCTGGTTCGTAAAAGATCACCAGTGTTAATTGGCATCTCAATCTCTACCATGCATCTTGGTGGATTGGTTAGGACACAAGCTGGAATGAAACAGTTCATTCGTGATTAATTAACAAGAGAAAAATGCATGTTTTTGTATATCATACAATCATTACCTAGGAATCTACTTGTCCCAGACTCTAGCCATTCCAAGCATACCATGATGGTGGATTATATGTCAATACTCTCAACCAAACTCTCAATCGGCATTGAAATTTCATGTTTAATTATCAAATACTGAGCTAAAACTACACGAGTAAATTTCTGAAGTTTTAAAAAAATGCATGTATATACATTTTAGCAAAATAATGACCGTCTCCTTGGTTTTCCTGCATGTTGCTTACCACTATCTTTGTCTGGGCCTAAGACTTCATCCTTGACACATTAAACACCAAGTTATAGGATTAAGTCTTATTTCAAAGATTAATTATCCTACTTTTGAACATTTTAGTTAGATCATTTGCATAATTTTAGGCTGATCAATTTCCCATTAACTAATTTCCCCCCCATACGTCTCAAAGAATCTACACACCCAAATTCAGCTGCTTTTTTAATTAGAAGTTGTCAATGGGAGGCATTGATCACAGCTAGAACTGTCATCCCAACAGCTGAAAAACGTTGAAATTAGTTTCAGATTCAGATTGGGATTCAGTGAATATATTTCAGAATCCAAATTTGTAAATTAATAATCATCATCATATTTTATTGATATGTTATCAGATTACTGTAAATATTTGATTTTGCAGTTTTCACGCATATAGCGGGAACACAGAGCAGACTCAAAAGCACATACATCATCGTCATGGCAAATTGTGTTCTATTCTGCAGTTTTTATAAAAACAACGGGAACAGAAGACAGACTCAACAGTGTTTATTTTGCTTGCGTACGTCACTATGCATCTATAATATTTTGTGCATAGTGTTGTAAAATAAGCGTAAAACATTGTGGGTGTTAAAACCAAATATAAATAAATGTAATATAAACAATGTTATTATGTACAAAGGTCGTCATTTTTTTATTGTCATTATAATCAATCATACGCTGTTATTTTCGATGTGTCCTCATAATCACTGTTTTAATTCAGTAACACGAATGAAGATCTTTTTTCGTTATGTACAAACGGTGCCATTCTTTATTTTGTTATCGTGTACTGTTACTTTCGATGTGTCCTCATAATCACTGTTTTAATTCAGTAACACGAATGAAGATCTTTTTTCGTTATGTACAAACGGTGCAATTCTTTATTTTGTTATCATACGCTGTTATTTTCGATGTGTCCTCATAATCACTGTTTTAATTCAGTAACACAAATGAAGATCTTTTTTCGTTATGTACAAACGGTGCCATTCTTTATTTTGTTACTTTCGATGCAAAGTCTCATTTTTAAGCAGAATGAAAAACATAGTTGAACTCTGGTGACTTTGCCCTTTGTTATATAATATAATTCCCTTTATCATAGTTTGTTTCAATATAAATATGCATTGTCATAATTAATTATGAATACAAACAAGTTTTTGGGTTGAACCAACAGTGGGGAATCAGTCTACCGAATGTCCTTAAAAGATGTAAATATCTTACAAAAACATTGGTGCCTTATTTGTTTAATTATTTTAAGGGACATAATTTCCAGCTTTATTCAAAGTAATTCAGATATTTTAGTATAAAAACAAATGCCTCATCGCAAAAAAAAAAGTGCTGCATTTAGATGCATTTAAAACATGCAAGATAACAGAAAATCTTAGCTGGCTTTTATCCAAGTATTTTGTACAGGTGTCTGTCAAAAATTAATGATTCACTGAGACAAATATGAACTGCCTCATTGTGTGACTACTGTATTATATGAAAAGTAAAAAAAAAACACCCTTTATGAATAGCTATCATGTTGCAAGCTCTGCTTTGTATGCAAATCAACTTAAATAGTTAGTTGGTGTCCAGTGGAGGGAGAAGTCAACAGTACTGTTGCCTCCTGAGAATCTACATCTTCAAACACTGCAATCTTTGAAGTGCGTTTTTAAACTAGTATTATAAAAACTCTATCATTCTGTTCTACTAGCTGAACATATTCCTGTGAGTTTTCATTTGTCGAATGAACTGTTTGTCAAATACAGAATACATATATTTTAGAACAATTTTCTTTTTAAAATGTGGATGAAATGTTTTGCTTTTTATGTATTGTTTTTGATTTGATAACTTTGAACTAAACAGATTTTCTATTAGCTTCAGATCTTGATCAAAGTTTGGCACCCAGTTCATAGGAGTGCTTATATTGATTTTCTGACATCTTGTTTTCTGTAAAGATTTATTGGTAGGTTTGCAAATGTGTATCAGACTGTGCAATCTCTCCATGAGTTGGTTTTGAAACCCAGTAAGGGATACATTACCAAGGATATTATTACAAGATAAATCATTTGCTTCATTGAACACATACAACAATGCATATTTCCACTGAGATCAGTGACCTTTGATGTGTATCACCAGTGATCAGTCAAGTAGAAACAGTCAAAATATTTTATCAGTTTTTCTCAATTTTTGCATGATATTTTCATACAGGACATCTGTTGTTCAAACTCAGGGAAGACTTTATACTGATGAACAAGGTGACTAAGTTTGATGAAGTTTGGAATAGAATTAGTAAAGTTATCATGCACACAATAACAATTATTAACGACGACGACAACGACGACGACGACGACAACGCCGGACAAAATTTTTCCTTTAATATACCTTTCCCTTCCATCTTTGATGGTACGGGCAAGGTAAAAAGAGAGTAGGGCAATAATTTCCACTGCTGGTTTTCAACTCCTTTTTGTAAATCGGTATAACTATTGTTTGTTTTTACTTAGATGTACCGAACAATTCAATATATTACTAAATCAGATTGATTACTGGTGATCCATCTTTCCCCCCTGGCTCTATGCTCCAATTTGACCTCAGAAATTGCAATAATGAGTTTACGTAAATGGTGGCTCTATGCTCCAATTTGACCTCAGAAATTGCAATAATGAGTTTACGTAAATGGTTCCTTTAGTCGTGAAACTTAACTGAAACAATTGACTAAAAAGTGAATACATGTACATCCTTGTCACAACAACTTGTGTTCTATTCTGCACACAATAAAAACAAGTGAAACACAATACATCAGTGTTACAGCAACTTACGTTCTATTCGAATAACTTTAAATCCTTCGCAGTCGTCGAGCTTGCCATCAAGAAACAACTGACCTAAGTTTTCATAATCAGCAGCAATGTGAAAATATAAAAGGAGGTGTGTGATATCCCACCTGAGAATAAGATAACATCAAAGATTTATCTATGTGTGGTGATATATCAAGGATGTGAATCTTTGATATCTATGTACAGTGACATGCGATATATCAAGGATGTGCAACTTAGATATCTATGTAAAGTGATATGCGATATATCAATGATATTTAAGATATGGGTATGTAACTTTGATATTCATGTATGGTGATATGCGATACAGCAATGATTTTTAAGATATGGGTATGTAACTTTGATATTCATGCATGGTGATATGCGATATAGCAATGATTTTTAAGATATGGGTATGTAACTTTGATATTCATGTATGGTGATATGCGATATAGCAATGATTTTTAAGATATGGGTATGTAACTTAGATATCTATGTAGAATGATATGCGATATATCAATGATTTTTAAGATATGGGTATGTAACTTAAATATCTATGTAGAGTGATATGCGATATATCAATGATTTTTAAGATATGGGTATGTAACTTAGATATCTATGTAGAACGATATGCGATATATCAATGATTTTTAAGATAAGGGTATGTAACTTAGATATTCATGTACAATGATATGCGATATATCAATGATTTTTAAGATATAGGTATGTACCGTATTTGTCTTCAATTAGGTGCCACTTTGTTACACTTTCATGTCATGGTGGCGCTTATTTGTGGTTAAATTTGAGCAACTTTGTTTCAAATGGCGCTTATTTCAAGCACTTCAAGTTCTAGTACCGGTAACTGTGTTACAAGCCATTGTTTTTGCTCCATTCTGGTGATAGATTATTGACAATATTTTACATTACAGTCTGACGCTTAGTCACTGTAGCCTTTATTTTAAATACTGAGTAAATGACCCGTTTTCAGACAGTTTAGAAAGTTATACAAAAAATATCATTCTTTAGAAAACATTCACAGTTTGCCGTACAATCAACAGAAAAATAAAACAAACACAAATTCAACGCTTAGTAGTCAATGATCACGGTAGCAAAATCCGGTCATGCTGCATTCCACGGTTACGATTATTACTCAGTAGTAGTTATAATAACGTGCAAAAAATAAAATGCAAGTAAAATTCAACTTAATTTCATCGTAAGCGAATGATTCTGGTCGCATGTAAACGCTCGGCGCGATTCGATGTCTGCCATGCTTTCTGTCTAGGACTTGACCTGGAACGCGTTTTTTGACCTGATAGGTCAAGTCGTTTATTAACCAATCAAAATGCTGGATGATGCCAACGTGATCAAATTACCATAGCTCATTTAAATAATGTATGAACGCAATGCGGAAGTGATTTGCCAATGTTTGCGATATTTTGGCTTTGATT